TAGTACCAACTACACTTTTTATTACTGTAGTAGAGCAGAAGCCTAATTGTGGCATTTTCTTGCTTTCACCTGGGTGAGAGTCAAGAATACAGTTACAAATTTCAAGAACTCCTTCATTCGGAGGACTGTTTGGGTAACGTGCTCCTGAAAGACACAATCCATGAAAATTTCCACGCAACTGACAGGCACAACTGTTTAACTAGAAAGAAACCTAAAGGAATTTTAAACAGAAACACACTGAAGGTAGTACAGCTCTGGAGACAATCAAAAGCAACACGGTACTGCTACAGTCAATTTCCCACTGGAAGGATATAATTAAAAGGTGAGTTTTCAACACCTTCAACAGTGAGAAACCACTGTAAGGAAATGAAACTTCCTTGGAACACAGAGAGAACAGTAGAGGGAAGCAGCAAAAGAAAAAAGTCTTCTGTGTACCATATAGGAGATATGCTTACACATGGCTAAAATGCTGGCTAAACTTCGTGCAACTTACTTTCAGTAGTTCTGAGTTAATAACAAGGCTATTTTTACAAAGGTGAAGTCCTTTGTATTTCTTAGCAGACAGTGACTAAAGTCTGAAATTCACAGGAAAATTTGGTAAGATTACAGATGTTCGTATTAAAAAGGACAGTTTGTCCAACTTACTATTCCAGATCCCTAGTCAAAGAGAAGCACATAAGCAAATCAAGAGAGTTTCTTCAAAGAAAACTGCCTACTCTGAAAGGCCATTATTTCCCACTGTGGCAAAAAATTACCATTAGCTTCACTGAATTAGGGAACCATCAGCAAAGAACATGAGCAACACTGACAAACAAGAGCATCATACCTGGAAAAAAGCAACCCACTCTCGGCAAAGTAAATTGTAATCATTCAAATCCTAATAAGCAAATGCAGGCTGCCACCAAGAAACCCATGACACCAGATGTTTGCAGCAGTTGCCACAAAGGTGCACCACCCAATGCAGAGGAATGCAATATATAAGCCTGATCAAAACACAGTGTCAGAGTATCCTCAATCGCAAGAAAGGAGTCGAAAACATTCTCTGTGGGCTCTGCTCTGCATTCAGATAGGACAGAAAGGCATCTTTCAAAAAGACTGGTATGTAAATGATAGGCTGATGTTAAAGTGCATACTTTCAAAGTGCAATAAGGTCTTACACAGAGAAAACCAAGAAGAATTAGCTACTTTATAAGGCATCACTTTTAAAATTCATTGTAGATAGCACTGAATTAATACTGGTGACATAAGTTCAATGGCAAATGACAGCTGAGTGGCAAATGACAGCCAGCTGAGTGTCCAAGAGAAGGCTGTTATCCCATTACTGCTGAAGGAGATTTTTGTGTCTAGTTCAACTAGCCAAAACGGTTCAACACCTGTGATGTCCAGAACCGGGGTTATACATATTGAGTTAAACACGCCATCCTCCCATATGGGAAACCTATAGCACCATGTTTAGCCACAGCTAGTAGAGGACAGCCATGGACAAGTTAGGATGTAAATGGGCCTCAGACTGGGCCCAGAAATCGCCAGAGCAATGAACACAAGACAGGCACTCTGGGGGTGCTCAGGCATTAGGACTATAGCTGAAGACAGTTTTATTGTAGGAGAACACAGCACAAGGATAGCTGAAAACATGATACCATGCTGCAACAATACCTGAGTGAAGAAACAGTTTCCTAATAAAACAAGCTAGTGGAAACACTTAGTCCTTTAAGGTTCTTATGCAGCATATAGTACACAAAGTAAGGAAAACCCCTCAGTTCATGTTGTAACGAGATACAGTCTGAATAGCAATCAGCACCTAAAAGGTAGATGAAAGCCCTCTTCTTAGATTTCAATTCTCTTTAGTTCCATTTGACGGGTATAGTTTTTGATATTCTGTTCTTCAGTAAAGAGCTGGAGGACAGCAACGGTTTAAAGGCTAACGACGCTGTAAGAAGTTTAGCACTTAAGCTGAAATTTCCAGACTACACAGCAAGTGAAGGGGACAGAAGTAATGAAAAATATGAACGCTCCACTCTTTTTCTTATAGGTCTTTGCAATGGCTATAGCAGCGAGTATTTCACCTTAGGACAAAAGCAAGACTAGTCAACATTATTTTTGCTCGTTTGCACTAGTTTAATGCCAGAACATGCTATAATACGCTTGAAGAAAAAACAATAAGCAAGCTATTTGTAATTATTTCTCTACCATGAAATTATCCTTCAAGATACAACAGTCTAATTTTTAAGAATAGGAACTGCTTTTGACAGCATAGTTCTAAAACACGTCTACTTTTTTTTTTTTAAATAAACAATTTTTAAAATTTAAAAAAAAAAAACCCACTTCAAAGATACTAGAAAGCAAAAAAGGCAAGAAAAATTATATCCTTTAAAGTGTAACAACTCAGTGACAGCATTACCGTTACAAGCGCAGAACATCTTTTTTTAAACTTACCTCTCCTCCGTTAACATACTCCATCACAAAACACAAACGATCCTTTGTCTGGAAGGAATATTTCAAGGACTTGCAAAGAAAACAGCAAAAGCAAACCAATTACCATCTTGTATTAACCCAATTTCTTGCACTTAAACTGTAACAAAATTTAATTTTATCCTCTTAAGCAGACAATTCTGACTTGGTGAGAACTTTCAGAGTATTTAAAAGTGTAACTTCCTATCTGGAGCTTGAGATGAATTAACACAAAAACCGTCATCTCTGCCATGTGGCCATTGATATGAAAACACCATGCTTATTATAACAAGATACTAAATAGTTAGTAAAATACACAATTTTCTACTGCATTTCTTATCACCATACATGGTACCAGCTATTCTCACTCATCATATTTTATGATGTCCACTTCCACAATGCCTATGAAGACAGAGATTACCATATTCTTTTTAATTTCTCCCAAATAAAATTGTAAAAGTGATCTTATGCCTGCTTTCATTTCCAAAGCAAGGACTCCCTAGTTTTCACATACTATGTTAAAAACACTGAGTGCCAGATAAATATATTTACTTATGTATCATTTTAAAATTGTAACAAACATTATTATCGTAATTAAAATTTTTGACTTATCAATGTTGATTTGATTTTGCTTGGAAAAATACCACCAAAGAAAATCTACAGATGCAGGCTTGGCCTAAAAGAAATAAAATGCAGTGGAACTACACGCAACAAAATCATAAGGTAACTCATGTGATTTAAATACTGCATGTCTCCTTAAAATATTTGTTTAATAGTATCAGAAAGATATAAAGATACAACTGCAGTGACATTGTTGCGTGATTTGATTGGAATTACGCCTCCTCCTGCTTACCTTTACACTCTAATTTAAGAAACTTTGGGGGACCTCATTTCTCTTGACTGAACTCCCAAGAACATTTTGGCCAAGCAATGTAAATACAATCTTCTGCTTTCTAAAGGGTTTGTTTATGATTTTCTAAATAGGAAAACTTCCATGTTATACTTTGATATTTTAATACAAAAGAGAAAATAATTTTTCCCTATCTTAAGATACATGTTAATTATCTTTTGAAATCAATGAAAAGATTTTCTGATATATTCTCAAAGGAGAGGAATCAGAATTACTCCTACAGAAGAAAGTCAGTTGTAAAATTAAAACTATTAATCATAATTTGTCATGAATCTCAAAATTTTCATCTTCTTTTCAGTATTTTCCTTCTATTAAATATTAACCATATGAAGACAAAGACAATGAAGTAGTGGGGCTTGAGTTTTGTTGCGCTACTTATGTTGAACAAATAGTTATTTTTATCATTTTACTGAATTCTTAATTAAGTTTTCTTGGTAAAAATTACTTACTTGACACTGTGTGAAATCAGTAACTTTTATTAAAAAAGTGTTCATATATAAAAATCGCAAAAACTGCACAACAGTTACATTCTACCATTAAATTTGTTTTCAGTGCAGTTAAGCTTTACAAAATTATTAGAAACTTTATTTCTGAACTCTTAAATACATATTCCGATAAAGGACATCATAAGCACCAGATAGCTACTGCTTGTTTACAGATCATCATGCGAAAGACTTCAAAATTTGTTTGTAAATTATGTTCATAATGGAATACTCATCATGTTGAAAATTGCCTGCTAATATACTTAAAACTAATTCCTAATACTTACTGTTAAAAAAGGGTGTCTGGTGTTTTTCAATACTCTGCTTTCTGTAAGCGTATGAGCCACTTCATCCTGAGAAATAAAGAGTAGAAGAAGTAGGTCTGAATTAAGATCTAAAACTGTTATTTAATTAATTATGAGGAAACGGTCAACATTTCCGAAAAGAGAAAGCTACAGTACAGTTTTGGAAAATGAACGAACCTGAAAGAAACATGAAAAATAATTCACGTTTTTTGAGAAAAGATTTTAGAGTAAATTTAAGTTTGGCAAAATACAATTTAACGTATTTTATTTGATTTTCTTTTTTTTGTTTTCTTGCTTTAAAATGAAGACTTTAACTTTATATCCAATGCAAGGAAGGAAGAAATTATAATATTGGATTTGACAGTTTAAAAATATAGTCATCACAACTTCGCAGTTCTGGTATGAATCATCTGAACAACATCTACAGAGAGATTGAATCAATTTGCAAGAAACGTACACAGGTAGTAACTGACAGGCAACTATAAAACCTAGTCTAATCTAGCCTAATGTCAAGTAAAGCCAGTTTTTCATTTTTTAAACATTTGTTTGGTTTGGTGGTTTTTTTTTCTTTAAAACAACGTAGCCATACAAAACCCCCTCCTCACCCTCCTGAGCTCTCCTAACCAGCCAGGCGAGCAGCACTCCTCAGACCCTGCCCGACCTCCTTCCCTGAGGACACAGACCTTGTCCACGGGAGGCGGGAGACGGGAGACATCCACACAACCCCCGTTTCCAGCCAGATTTTGAGAAAGGGGCAATTCGGAGAGAGGCAGCGACACTCTCCTGTTCATGAGCCTGAACAGGGAGGATTAAAATGAGTCCTGTGCCAAAGGGAGAGAGAGAAAATACCCCGTCCCCCACGGGCGTTTGTGCCCTGGGAAGCTCACCCGCGCTCCTCCCTCCGGGTGGCTGCGGGGCAGGGGGCACACGGGAGGCGAGGAGGAGCTTGGAGGGCTGACAGCGAGGCCCCGAGGGCAGGGATATGGCCCCTCAGGCCACCAGGTTTGCAGAGAGCAGGGGCCAGGCAGGGACGAGGGGGAGAGGATGGCGGGAAGAAGGCTCGCCCTGCGCTGCAATAGCGAGCAGTTCCTAAGGACTAGGGAGAAAAGCAGGGCATTTAGGAGGTTCGTATAATGTATACGCAGCCATTTTATGCAATTCTACCAGTAGTACATGCCGGGAATACCCCCTCCCCAGGCTGCCAGGGGCTGGACCTAAAAAGGCTCAGAGCCACTGGGCTGGTTTAGCCATTTTCTGTAGAACTAAGCTGCCGCTGAGTATTATACAGAATTGAAGACTAACTTAGTACAACTCAAACTTCAACCATAATCCTGCAGAAGTAAATATATTTAGTCAGAGTATACTTTATTATTGCTACAAATAATACCAATATAACATTATTGTACTGCGCATGCTTATCAGACTATGCTCTGAAGATCAGGTATTATTAAACTAGAAAGTAAACACGTCAGGAGTTTTAAATTAGACTTTAAAAATTGTCAAAATAGGAAATTAAACAACAGAGTTAGTGGTAATAAATTATGATGCCATTTAGCTGAATAGCAGTGCAACACTGAGTGTATACACTACAACCACATACCGGGGGAAAAAAACAAAAACACCCTTCAAGGAGAAAAGCCAGTCTAAAGTTTTATTTATTTATTTATTTTTAAACCTCGGTGGTTCACCATATATGGGGCATAAAAAAGCTGGCAATGGCCAGTTTTTCTGGCATTGCCTGAAAAGTTTGTAATACTGGTACCAATTCCCTGGTAAGTATAATATTAATCTGTCATGAAAATTTAGGATCAACAGATTTAGTCTGAACTGGGCAGATGCTATACAGCTTTCTAGATACAGCTGCCACTGCACCACTTTTGGGCTTCATATTATGCTAACTGCTCCAGGAATGACCTCCTATATATTATATCACATCATAGGCTGAGTTGGGACTGCAGATCTACTCTACCTAGTGACCGTATCCTTAGCACTGACCTTCAGAGTTAAATGTTATTGATAAATCCCCGTGGCATACTTACACACTGACTGGGCTAGACAGCTAAGTTCAGACTCAAGTCTGCTTTTGTTTTTAGTTTGGGGTGGAGTGGAAAAACTGGTATTTGGCGACTATAGGGGGAAAAAAAACATGATCACTTCACTTGTGAAGATCTAAGCATAGTGTCTTTTTTATTCTTTCATCAGTTTCTTATCAATATACAAACTTACTATGGAAAACTTAGGAGGACTCCCTTCAAAACAAAATTCCAGTTCTGAGGAAGTCAAATTTAAAAGACCGAGGTGCTCCCATTTTCATCACAGGATGAAAGGCATGTTTCCTCACACACTTAATCTTCTTGTTAGTCTACAAATAGGCAGAAGAACAGACCCTGGTCTGCTTCAGGGAGTGCCAGGTTCTCCCCAATCTATCACTGAGCTAGCTTTCTGTTTTCAGGTAAACAGATCAATGAACAGTTGCGTCCCTGATCTCTTCAAAACTTCTCTGGCTTTATACATACTCCCGTGAACAAGAGTTTTCACTCAACAGAGAGAGACAAAGTTATCCAAGAATCAGTTTTAACCCTTCTAAAAATTCAGTGATACTGTAGCAGCCAGCGAAGTAAAAGGAAAAACCCTAAAATTCAAAAATGTGGGTTTTATTTTATTGATACAAAGAAACAAGCTGAAACGCTCTGAAGGCCGGAAGGATATAACCGAGCAGCAGCAGAGCAGGAGCTCATAGCAGCCAGACATAAGATTGCCCGAGGAGCCCCTGGGTGCCACAGGTGAGCAGAGCACTGGGGAAGGATGTCAGGCTGGAGGCTGGGCCACAGCATGCAGCAAACAGATAGACTCCGAGACCCACAGGGCAACCCACAGAGATTGCTGCCATTTATAAAGTCTTACAAGGAGGGCCACTGAGATGCTCCTTCCCATGCAGAATCAGGAGAACGCAGCCGCGATGCCCTCTTTTCTTTCTGTATCTCCTGATTATGAAGAAGAAAAGGGCACTCTGTGGCTGTTAGTCCAAATGGTATACACGCCGACCAGCCTGCCAGTGCACGCAAGACAGCTGCTAAGGGCACGCAGAACTCATAGGTCAGTCTCTTCTCTGCTGAAGACATAAATTTAAGTCTCTCCCCTTGCACCAGGGCTGGTTTTAATGAAACTCAAGGAAATAATTGGTTTTGAGGTTTCTACTCCTCTATCGAATTTAAGCTAAACTGATCAACACATTCAAAACTTTTTAGAAAGTGAGTGACAGATAGATAAATGAACATAGAGTGCAAAACTCTGTAAGCCCAGAGGCCAATAGGAAAATCAGAAAAATAAGGATATTTTAAAATAAAATGTATGTAAACCACAGTAGTTCCCATCCACATTCAGTTTTTACAAACACTGTATTGTTAGCCTCAAGCATTCAAAATTCTCAGTCAGATCCATATCCCTCAAAAATCTTCTTACTTAATTAAGTAATTAATTACTTACTTAATTGGGATTATTTTTAATTGCGTCTCATGGTGATAAGACCATGTAGGTTTCTTGCTCTCAACTTTTTCTGTGCAAGTGGGATTCAAACCTTTAGAATTGCTAGAAACAAAGCTCAGAATAGATGATCTTCAAGTTTAAACTTAGTACAAAGTACATTATGACCGACCACAAGAGCTACTAACACTAAACTAATCAAGTTTAAGTGACTGGACAATGCCAGTTTAAACCACTTCTTCAGACATCAGCTTCAGACTTTTCTCATTCCTCAAAAACTGAAAAAATGAAATTGTTAGTCCCATGCACAGCTGTCTTATCTAACAGCAGGAACAGAGCACAGGCCCATTAAATTAATTGCATTTATCTGAATAAACCTGCAGTTGACTTAGAAAAATTTTTGAAGTACATAATATACTCTACAATGCACTTTTTCTTGTTTTAAAGTTGGATTGCACTATCTTCCTGCCCAGTGAACTCTCTCAATGCTTTAGCACGCTCTAGATTATAAGACACTGGAAAAAGGCATGCAAAATGGGTACCCATAGTTTTTTTGTACTCTTGTTTTCTGAAAATACACACATACTTCTATCAAGCTCAGTTACCATCAAAAATCAAATACACCTTATATATCAAATATTGATTATTCCATTTAAAAAAATGACCCAATATTAAAACCATAATCTTCCTTACCTTTGCAATAATGACTTCTTTTTTCAAAATCTTCATAGCATAGTATTTCCCACTAGCCTTCTCTCGGACCAGGATAACTTTGCCAAACGTGCCTTTGCCCAGTAGTTTTAAATAGTCAAAATCATTCATTGTCTATAAGGAGCAAAGAACAAGGATTAGCAAGATTTATGCTGTCCAGTTCCAATATGCACACAAGTGTGTCTGCCTATAACCAAATGTTGTTACCAATATAATAAGAACAGTTTACAAAAATAGGTACAGTTCTACAATTAAGTTCATAACAGGTAACTGTATCCTTAAACCACTAGGATATATTGTTCGATACTATTATTATAGTTCTCTAAAGTCAAGTACTGCACAGTATACTACTACACACACACACTTATTTTTACAAAGCACACACAGAACAAAGTCTTAGCCTATACCAGCATTTCATGAATGCTCCACACCTAAGAAAGCTCATCAACTCATGTGTTACCAGGGACGCAAGAACGTGGCACATCAGTAAGTTTTGTGTAACACCAACTACTGCACTGATGGCTTTTTTGAAACATACATGATCCTCACTGCAATATTATACCAGTAAGACTCTACAACAGCCTTTGCATTAGAGGTGGACTTTTAAAAATTTGAATACGGATTACAATTACATGGTTTTACATTAATCAGTCTGGCTCTGAAAAGGAAGAGGTGGCAAGTTTTCCTCTTTCATGTGACTCCATCACAGTGACTGTTCAAGCATCTAGTATCACCCTAGTTTTGCAGGTTAAATGTAGTACATCCAAGAGACGGTTCCACCAACAGACAGTTTGAGTCCAGTAGGTTTATCAGCTCAACTGGAGTGTCACACACCGCAAGAATATGACCAGACAATCTCAGATCCCAAAGCAGTTTAGCCACTTTCATGAGCACAAAGTTTGAGTAAATAATCATCTTAGTTCTGTAAGTTCATTTCACAGCCAGTTCAGAAGCATCAGCCCTATGCTCTATGCATTAGATGCAAATTTGAGGATGTAGAAAAAACAGCAAAATACTGAGAATGCAGCGACCGCACAGGGTCACCTTGGATTGACAGCAAGGTTTCATTGGCCAACTCGGGCCAGTCGCTGGCTTCCACCGTGTGTTTCCACAGCACATCTTTCAGCGTGCTGTGTTACTGGCTTGGTTGCAGCACCACATAACCACACAGAGACCGTTAAGGCACCCAGGAAGCTTGAGGAAAGCAGTTAAAAGCTCTGGAAGACAACACACTCACCTGTTCTTGTTATAGTACTGTCCTGCAGTATCAATAACCTTCCTCAAGTAACCCACCTCAAAACATTTATAAATGAGTGATTACACTCCGAGTCTCAGTTTTGCTAAGTTAAATATATTTAATCCTATTATGTGTGAGGAAAAGAAAAGATCATGCCTTATCTTTTATCTTCCTAGTGTCTCATTCTATCACTAGTTGCAGCCTCAGGCAGTTTTCTTGAATACTGGCATTCCAGATAAACTTCTACTTGTGTCTTCCACAATGGAATTAGTACTTTCCTTATCCCTACCAGAACCACCTCTAACAGTGCCTACCTATCTCACACACATTCCAAGTGTAGAGCTATTGGGCATATCCCTGGTGTGCAATCACAAATAGTGGCAGCAAAATATATTCTCTCTTGTGAGAAAGAATAAAGAGCAAAATTTCCTTCTGAAATTATTCCTTTAAGCTCAAGTGCATGATACTATTACTGTGGATCTGAAGTTGCTGTCAACAAACTGTGAAAATAATTTATGCAGTTGCTCACTCAGAGTCAGTTTGAAATCTGTTCACATAAGGGGTAGAATTGAAGTTCCATCAACCACTTTAATGCTGTAATTCCTTAGCTTTTAAGTGTTCAACCTGCAACTTAAAAGCTGCAAAAGGTCTCCAACAGACTACTTAAGGTAACACCTGGATAGCTGGATATTTCAAAGCTTTATTAAAGAGAAGATGCTTTTCACGTACCAATTTTCTAGCTATA